CTCTAACAAAGGCCAGTCCTAGCAGCAGTCAGCTGACTCAAAAATGGATGAAGCTTAAGTATGGTGCCCAGGAGCACACAAAATTCTTGCCACTACCAAGCCACCAAAGCATCCCAGGGACAAGCAGCACAAGAGCCAAGGCAAGTGTCAGTGGGGTATGCCAACAAGTCAGGTGCTATCAATGGAAAATGACTTCCTTATTGTGGCATCTGGGTCCAGTCAATGTCATCCAAAGCAAAGAAAAATGTAGGCAAGTGCCAAAAGTATGAACCACAGACTTAGCAGGTCCTCTTCTTCAGTTGCCCACCCAGGGCTTGAATGTGTCCTTGTGACACCACGACCACTGGAAAGATTATTGGAAAAGAAAAGTGAGTGAGTTATTTAATAGAGGAGTTTTACCAACCTGCATGTGACCTGGTTAGAGAAAGTGTGTGTGTGTGTCTGTGTGTGTGTGTGTGTGTGTGTGTGTGTGTTTATATTTATGTATCTGTGAGTAAATGGAGAGGATGAATGGAGATGGAGAGGGAAAGAGAGAAACTTTAAAATGAAACTGAAGACAGCATATGGTAAAACGTACTTTTTATTTTGAACATTATTTATTACCTATGTTTTGACTCCTGTTAATCCTCTGGTATCAACTTACCTTTCTAGCCTCATCCTCCTCAGCAGAGGAGGAGGCTCCCCACCCCCACCCCACCCAGGCCAACTCCAGGCCAGTGAAGCCAATCCAGACCATTTGTGATTCCCTGGACATACATTGTTCTTTCCTGCTTCTGTGCAGGTAAATACTCTTTTGCTCATTCTTACTCTTTTTATTCTATTCATTGGAAAACCGAGATTGTATTAGAAACAAAAACACCATCAGGGACACAACAACATTGTATCCTTCAAAAATACTTCCCCAAAGTTTCGAGTGTAGAGAACTAAGATAATTTCTAAATTTGTCTAGTTCTTACCTCACAAAGTGACTGAAGAAGGTTCTTTGCCAGCTGATGAAATCAATTCTAGTGAAAGGAAGGGGTGCAGCACACAAATCAGTTACTATATCTATATTAGGATAAGAAAGGAGAATACAGGCATGAATTCTCTTATTTTTTTTTTCTTTTTTGCTGTTAAGCTTAGATTTTTGCACTGGGGCAAGTGTAGATCTAAACCCCTAAGCCAATTTAGGATGGTCACTGGGTATTGTGGATGAGACAAATATAATGCATTGATTCCTGAAAGATGATGTCTGTATTTCTTGTTGATACTGGAGAGTTTAAAGTTTGAAATGTAGTAGCCAACATAAGATAGATCTGAATAGGTTTCAAAGCCAACACATATCCATGAAATAATCTGGTTTTCAAGCCTATTTTAATCTTGAGTTTATCTTTGTAGTAGTGACTATAAATAAAATTCAAGCAATAAATTTGTGGCCAAGATTATTTGAAATAACTTACAGTTTGCATTTGGAGAATAAAGGGATCTAGACCTTGCATTACCTCTGCATTAGAGAATCACCTTTTACATTTATACTTTGATGAATCAAAGATTTTATTAATAGGGGCACTCCTGCTATCAGCACAAATTAAAATCAGTCCACACTTTCTCGTCATGGGTGATTCCTCAATTCACCAAGGGTTCTTTAAGCTTATCTACTATATGCTAGGCACTGTGGTAAGTACTGGGAATGCAAATACAAGCAGAAAGAAAGACAGTCCTTGCCCTCAAGGAGATTATATTCTAACGGAGGATACCAACAGTACAAAAAAGAGTGAAGGAAAAGGAAGAAATGAGGGTACATTGCATGTACTCTTTGTACAGGGCTTTGTAGAAAAAGTCTAGGAGAGTCAGAACTGTAGCTTGGAAAGGAACAGTGATGGCATGGCTGGCTTGGACTTTCTCCTTAAAATGGATCAGCCAGTCAAAAGGAGAATCCAGGAAAGAAGTGAGTTCATAGTTTCTCATAATTCCTGAAGATCTATCTAACATGCTAGATAGAAGGTTTCTTTTTCTTTTTTCATCTCTCTAGTACTACTGGGCTATTTGGGCTCTTGATGTTGTCTATCGTTCTTACTGAGTAATGGACCCACCTCTTTTTTTTTTTTGTCATTTATGTTGTTGTCTCTTATACTAGTTAGATGGCACAGTGGGTAGAGCGCAGGGCTTAAAGTCAGGAAGACTTATTTTCCTGAGTTCAAATATGGCCTCAGACATGAGCTGTGTGACCCTGGGCAAGTCTCTTAACCCTGCTTGCCTCAGTTCCTCAACCATAAAATGAGTTAGGGAAGGAAATGGCAAGCCACTCCAGTATCTTTTCCAAGAAAACCCCAAATTGGATCACAGAGAGTCGGACACAACTAAAACTCCTATACTACTTCTTGGAAACAAGTCATTGCTGGTAACATGGTGCAGCCTACTTACATCCACAGTACATCTTTTCATTGCCCTTTGAGGTATTTGGAATTTCAGTTCTTCCAAGATCATAGTATTCCACGATTCAAAGTCAAATGGTATTGCTGCAAGAATATTATTATTAAAGAGATAGGATATTGTGGGAGCAAGCAGCTTGGGATCTAAACTAAAACCACATCCCAGTTTCCCCAACGTGATCCATGTCTATCTTCTTCTACCACTCAATCCTTGGGCCATCAACAGCACCTACTCTAGAGAGACAGAGACAAAAACACAGAGACATCAGTCTTGATATGAGCTAACTCGAATATGTATCATATCCCGATCTGTGTCATGTTGTTTTCTTCCACTCATTTTCTCAAGTATGGGTGGTTAGATCTTTAATATTGCTTTGAATGTCGCTGCAGGAGATTTTTAGTATATAGGGCCTGATGATGTTAGTGACGTCATCTGTCAATAGGAGAGTGTGGAGGAATCTTTTGTTTGTATTTTGCATGAGGCATCTTTTATACCGCTGAACATATATGTTAGAATGAAGAGAAATCTGAATTATCAACCTGAATTAGCATTTCTAAAGATGATTTAATCTGTTTTGCACTAAGTGCATACAAATTGTAATGAATTAAGTATCTAGCAGAGATAATGCAATGTTTCAGTTTTACTTTGACACCATATAAATCACTATAGGATGCTTCAAGTTGGGACTACTTTTTATTCATTCTCTATATTTTTTCTTGGCACACTGGTCAGTATTTTTCCACCATGGTATTCTTTCCCTCTTTATTTCATATGCATGCTGTTACCAACCTGGAAAAGTATTGATTATTCCATCCGTCTTAAGTTTCAGGTGTTCTCACCCCTATATTACTTCGTATTTATTTTTCTACATGTAAACTATATGCCCCAATATAATGTGGGTTTTTTGAGGACAAAAATTATTTCTTTTTATCCCTAATGCCTACCATAGTGCCTTGCATGTGACAGATGCTTCATAAGTGCTCTTTAGTTTGAATTGATAGGTTTCCCATATGGATTTCCTAGAGATCCCTTTTACTGGCTGTCCATGACATTTCCATGATATTCTCTGGCTTATGATATGATTTCATGAACGTAGTTGTGACACTAGTACTTTTTGAACTCACAAGAAAACCAGCAACAAAGAAAGCAAAAAACTTGTTTTGGCATGGCTCTCAGTCAATACTAGAAGCTTTCCAGTAGGAACCTCGATGCACAAATACTGCTTTATGTATATTGGCCTTCCCTTTAAATATACCCAATGTTTAAGAAGAGCTACATTTTCAGGAGGATTCGAAATTTCTTGTTTAATTAAGACACATTTTAAAAATGCTCTCTTTACAAATTGTAGCAATCCAGAGAATCATCATTCATTCAGGGCCCCTTTCATATGTCCTGCTTTCTCATTTGGACCATTTTGGACTGGAAGATATTAACTCCTTTTGCATGAACAGAGAAATGAAAACTGATTTAGCAGAGCTGTTTTGCCTGTATAATGACCTCCGCTAAGAATAGACTCGTGCATTGGCAACAAACTGTAGACGGAGCCAAGAGCACAGATTGATGTGGGATGGTCCCCTTGGCTGCCTCGTGAGTGTCATCTCTTACTATATGCAGGCTTTCCCTGAAGCTGTGACTTAGCACCCACTGTCTGGGGAAAAAAAGGAATCTCTGGATTTATTTTGAAGAAGTGGAGAAAGCCCCTTTCCTCACATTTGTAGTGATATTCCAAGACACTATGACTTTGAAAGCAATCTTAATACAATATGCATTTCTACCAATGCTGGCATATTAGGTTTTTCCCTCTCAATAGCATTTTGCACAAAATATGAAGTTCAGGCTATTCCTCTTGACTATAATCCTCTCCCTCTGAATCTACCTCCTGGAATCCTTAGCATCCTTTAAGGGTCAGTTCATGTCCTTTAGTTCTTAGTACATTTTCTCCTCTCAAGTTATCTCCTATTTTCTCATGTTACAAGTTTTCTCCCTCTTTAGAAAGTATGCTTCCTGAGGACAAGGCCTATTTTTAGTTGATTGTTTGTTTGTTTGTTTTTAACTTGCCAGCAGTAGAAACACAATCAATGCTTGTTGAATTAAATTTCTATTTTCTTGAAAGAATGATGATGCCGATAGTCAGCACACAGCCTGTACATCCGATCTAGACCATGTTCAAAGGCCATTTTTACTAGAGAAATATACAGACAGATTATTTAACACCCTTGGAAATAGCTTGCCCTGCCTCTAACTTGAATCACAATACTATTTTCATGCTCAATAGCTGGAACCTGGCACTTCTGTTTCAATGTTGGTATTTATTATACTTCCTCACAGCTTAAGTAATGGATCTGGCCCAAAGAGGGGCTGAGTCACCTTTTGGCCCTTTGAACTGGGTTGTAGAAAACACGTGATTCTCCCTGGTATTAGGGAATTTGCAGTTCACTGAGCAAATTATACATTCAAACATCTAATTGCAGTTATTTAATTAAAGCCTTTAGTTCATGCCAGCTCACTAATGTTTTTGTATTGGACATTTTTAAAGTTATTAATATTTAACAGCAACTCTCCATGGATTTTTTCTTTTTCTTTTTCAGGTAAAAGGGATAATTTTAAGTAGTTCATTGTGCTCCGAAGATTCAAAAGGAATTAACTCACAGGTTATAGTCACTTCTCCTATTATATGAAGATGTAAAAAAATGCTTGCCTTTCAAATCCATTCAGAATTTGCTCTTTCAGAATGTAGTAGATCAAATGAGATAATATTTGTAAAAAAAATTTAGTACAATGCCTGGCATATAGTAGGTGGTAAATAAATGCTTATTCCCTTCCCTGGAGGGCATAATTAGATTTTTAGGGGTGCACCTATAGATGTATATAATGATGATAATGTATTTATGTATGGTCAGAGCCCTAGTTAGGACAAAGTAACCACAGTTTTGTTCTAGGGTTTAAAAATTTAGATTTTTGATAGTACTTTTTTTAATAGCACTTGTATGTTTTCAGCAGATAGAAGCAACTGAGTTCAGCACATAGGAAAAAAGAGTTATTTAAAATATAAAGATACCAGTGCTTCTCCTACTCTTAGCAAGACCACCTAGTCTAGGCCTGTCTCATTCACTTCCCTGGCTTCTGTAGTCTCAGGTCTTTCCCCGAGGTCTCCTAGTCCATGAACATTTCATGGTATTTGCCTTGGGTAACAATTACTAAGTATGGATCTATATGATGACCACACATCCTGGATTTTCAAGAATAGTTGCGATTTCGAGAAAAGAGTCTGCTTTTAATGAGACACTGAGAAAAAAATCATTTGTCAAACCACATGTCTTGATTATTTTAAGTTAAGAAAATATAGTAATCATTAATGATGGAACCAAAATCATCAGGACAGGTAGACAATAATCTGTGGGTAACTTTATAATTAATAAGTATCTTAAATCAGATAAGTCCATTTCTTTAAAGTTGAACAGTGTGCAGATTCTCCAGATGCAAATTTTGATATGTCTTTGGTGGCATCGTATAGTTATTGTAATTGCTGGGAATAATAGAGGTGGAGAAGAAGAAGGGGAGAGCTAGAGGTGGAGAAAGAGCTTGATGACAGCTCAGAAATTAGATGAGAAGTTAGATCCCTCAAACCCTATAGGGCATGGTTGGCACAATAGGAACATTAAAGTCATACCTCCTCAGCCAATTGCACTTTCTCTCTTTCCCATGTAAGTCTCACATCATGTTGTGCTGTATTTTTTAAATTAAATTAAATTAAATTAAATTTTTTTTGTTACATTTTAATTTGCAAACTGTCTCCCTCCCCATCCCACATTAGAGAAGGCCACTGTTCCATGCAGATTTATAAATATATGTAAAACTATACTATATATACACTTCTATTTATCAGTTCTCTCTCTGGAAGTGGACAGCATCTTCCTTCATAGATCCTTTATAGTTGATTTTATTTTTTTAAGGGTGTGTGGGACTCATAGCTCAGCTCAAACATAGCCCCCTCATCCAGCTTTATAATAGTCAAAGTTTCATGTTACTTTGTATACATAGGAAACTAAAATTTAATCTCTCCTGCCTCCACCCTTGGCCAGCGGATGGGGAAGGTGACTTGTACAAATTGTATATCTCTTCTATACCATTAAACAAAACAGGATTAAAGTATTTAACTTGACTGCCTTTTTTTTTTTTTTTGGAAATTGGGGTTAAGTGACTTGCCCAGGGTTACACAGCTAGTAAGTGTCAAGTGTCTGATTTGAAGCCGGATTTGAATTCAGGTCCTCCTGATTTCAGAGCCAGTGCTGTACCTACTGCACCATCTAGCTGCCCCCTTTGACTGCCTTTTCAGAAAGGTTGAATTAAGGGAGGTATTATTTAATTGGAATGGGTGGTTAGGTGGCTTAGGGGATAAAACTCTAGCCTTGGAGTCAGGAAGATTCATTTTTGTGAGTTCAAATCTGACCTGAGATACTTATTAGCTGTGTAACCCTGGGTAAGTCACTTAACCCTGTTTGTCTCAGTTTCTCATCTGTAAAATGAACTGAAGAAGGAGTGAATGAATAGAATGGCAACTCACTCTAGTATTTCTTCCGAGAAAATCCCAAATGGGGCCCACAAAGAGTCAGGGTCAACAAAGAGTCATACACAACTGAAAAATAACTGAACAACATTATTTGGAGTCCTTCTACAAAGCAGAACTAGGATCAGAAGTTCAATGGAAGCTGTATAGATACAGATTTGGGGAATGATGTTAAGATAAACTTTGTAAAGAAATTTTTAGGCAGCTAAGTAGAATATTGGATGAAGCACCAGACTTGGATTCAGGAAGACCTGAGTTTGAATTCTGCTTCAGATACCTACTAGCTGTGTGACTCCAGGCAAGTCATTTAACCTCTCTCACTGTCAGTTTCCTCATTTGTAAAAATGAGGATAATAATATTGTCTATCTCATGGGGCTTGTTGTGGAGATCAAATGAGAAATATGTGCAAAGTGCTTGGAAACATGAAAGTACTATATGAATGTTAGTCATTATTACTATTAACAACCAGATTAATTGCAATGGGGAATGGGTTGTCTCATAACATTCTTGTTCTTATCTTATTGGAAGTCTTTAGCTACTTGTTAGGTATGTCGTAGTAGGGATTGTATTCAAGCATACGTCAGAATAGGTGTCCTCTGAATTCCTAACTTTCTTATGCAATGATTCTTCCCATCATTCTACTACCTAGCATATTTCCACCATTTCTTAATAGTTATACAGCACCTGATACTATAAGCAAACTGGGAGAGCAAGGAATAGCTTACCTATCAGATTTATAGAGAACAAAAGAATTCATGATCAAACAGGAGATAGAGAACATTATGAAATGCAAACTGGATAATTTTGATTACATTAAATTGAAAAGATTTTGCACAAGCAAAGTCAATGCAACCAAGATTAGAAGAATTTTTACAACCAGTGTCTCTGAAAAGGGCCTCATTTCTAAAATATATAGAGAATTAAGTCAAATTTATAAGAATACAAGTCATTTCCCAATTGATAAATGGTCAAAGGATATGAACAGGCAGTTTTCAGATGAAGAAATTAAATCCATCTATACTTATATGAAAAAATGCTCTAAATCACTATTGACTAGAGAAATGCAAATCAAAACAACTCTGAGCCACCACATCACACCTATCAGACTGGCCAACATGACAAAACAGGAAAATGATGAAGCTTAGAGAAGATGTGGGGAAATTGGAACACTAATGCATTGTTGATGGAGTTGTGAAATGATCCAACCATTTTGGAGAGCAATTTGGAACTGTGCCCAAAGGGCTATAAAAATGTGCATACCCTTTGATCCAGCAATAGTACTTCTAGGGCTGTATTCCAAAGAGATCATACAAATGGAAAAAGGACCCACATGTACAAAATTATTTATAGCAGCTCTTTTTTGTGGTAGCCAAGAACTGGAAATTGAGGGGATGCCCATCAATTGGGGAATGGTTGAACAAGTTGTGGAATATGAATGTAATGGAATACTGTTGTGCTATAAGAAATGATGAGCAGGCAGACTTCAGAAAAATCTGGAAAGACTTGCGTGAACCTGATGCTGAGTGAAATGAGCAGAACCAGGAGAATGTTGTACACAGTAACAGCCACATTGTGCAATGACTAACTTTGATAGACTTAGCCCTTCTCAGCAATGCAAGGATCTAAGACATCTCCAAAGGTCTCATGATGGGAAATGTCATCCATATCCAAAGAAAGAGCTACGGAGTTTGAATGCAGATCGAAGCATACTATTTGCCATTTTTTTCTTCTGTTTTGTCTTGTTTTCCTTTTCTTGTGGTTCCTCCTATTGGTTCTAATTCTTCCTTAAATGTGAAAATATGTTTCATAGGAATGAATATGTAAAGTCTATATCAGATTGTGTGCTGTCTTGGGGAGAGAGGTAGGGAGGGAGGGGGAGAAAAATTTAAAACCCAAAATCTTATGGAAGTGATTGTTGATAAATCAAAGTAAATTAATAATTTTTTAAATAGTTATACAGCACCTTCAAATGACTACCAAGAGGCTGCTTGCAGAAGCTACACATCATTCTGCATTGTCAACATCTGTACCACATTTGAGAAATAAACTGTTATTTAATCTCCTTAAGAGAGGCAGTGTGAGATAGTGGATTGAAGGTCAACCTCGAAGCCTGGAAGATCTGGATTTAGAAGTCCTGCCTCTGACACACACTGGCTATGAGATTCCAGAAGAAGACACTCAACTGCTTAGTGCCGTAGGCAACTGTCTGAGACCATAAGTAGTTGAGAGGCTGCCAACCTCCATTGGTAGAGGAAATAGTCTCACCTGGTAGTTAAATTTACCAGTGTGGTTTGTCTTTCGTTCTCGAAGAGGACCATGACATCAGGCAGATGACATGACTTGCGACTGAAATGGAGTTGAGGGAGGGAGGGCTGTGCAAAATCAGCAGCCTCACTTTCTCTTCCAGAGCCATCTGGTCCAGTGGCCAGATATAGATCAGAATGACTGGAGATGGCTCCAGGATTCAGTGGGAGAACGATGAAATCACACATCAAGCTCTATCCCTTAAGATCCTTATATTCACTCATTCAAAATTATTTTAAAAAACAATTTTACAATTGCTTTAGTTTTTCTTCTGGGTATCTATGGTCATTAGATTTTTCTGGGCCACAGTGGTGCATTGTAGAAATTATTTTGCTATACCTTCATCTATCAGTAAAACCATTATTTCATTCTGAACATGTTTTGACGTATTGAGACTAGGTTCATTCAGCTCATTGACAAATATTATATTCTAGCTTCTAAGTGTAAGTTTTTTGGTTTGGTATGGGGCTCTTAGAACAGGATTTACTGGTAAAGTACAGCTGTGGTGATACTTCACTACATTTTGTTCTATGTTAGACATTTCTAATGTATATAATTACCTCAAGTCTTCTATATTATGACAACTTTGCAATTAGGCACTTCATTTACCAGTATAAAATTTATTTTTTTGTCAACCTCCCCATCTCTATGGTTATACAGGCAAAAAAATTACTATACCTGTTATTCAAAGCCCTCTATAATCTGGAAATGCCCTACCTTTTCAGCCTTATTTCATATTCAATTAATCAGTCAGAACTTATTAAGTGCCTACTACTTCC